GAGGATGATCCCACAGGATCTCCACCAGATCATCTGCACCATCAATGACCCTGGACCAGGGTCAGTTGACCCTAAACGGTAGACCCTGGACCATTGATCCTTGACTGTTGACCGTGGACCTTTGTCCCTGGACTGTTGATCCTGACCCGTTGATCCTGGAGTATTCACTCTGGATCTTGAATCCTGGACAGTTGATCCTGAACCATAGACCCTGAACCAATCACCTTAGACCACAGATCCCTGACTGTAGACCCTGGACTTTTGGCCCTGGACCATTGACCTTTTGACCCTGGGCTGAAGGGCCTGGACTGTTGATCCTGGACTATTGATCCTTGACTGTTGATCCTGGACTGTTGGTCCTGGACTGTTGATCCTGGACTATTGATCCTTGACTGTTGATCCTGGACTGTTGGTCCTGGACCATTGACCCTGGACTGTTGATCCTGGAGTATTGACCCTGGATCTTTAATCCTGGACAGTTGATCCTGAACCATAGACCCTGGACTTTTGACCCTGGACCGTTGACCCTGGACTTTTGTCCCTGGGCTGTTGACCCTGGACCACTGATCTTGGACTGTTCATCCTGGACCATTGACCTTGGACTGTTCATCCTTGACCACTTGGACTGTTGACCCTGGGCCCTGGTCAGTTGGCTTAAGCCCGATCAGGTGGCTGTTTCTTGATTGAGACAAAGTTAGGTGGAGGATGGCGACCACCATTGATGGGCTTCAAAAGTCCTCTTCAAAAACCAACGGGTGATGTTAGTAGACTATGTCCATGTTTAATACATTCAATGTCCTGGAGCGGGAAGATAACTCAGGATATGATCTGACATATTAATATGAGAACAACAGGCTATTAAGGTGGTACCTGGACTTGACTAAGGTGTACTGAGTTCTGTGTGTTACTGTGTCAGATCCCAGTTCAGGTAAATGAAGGTGATAGCTGTGGAGTCCTTCAGGCCTAAGTTTAAGGTTTGATCTGTTAAAGCTTTCTCTTTAAATATGGACTCTGTATGTTCTTCCTGTCGTCCACAGCGTGGGTCAGGAGGTGCAGAGAGCAAGTGTCATCAGTAACCTGCCAATCCTTGTCCGCCAGAATCCTGCTGAGACATTTCGTCGGGTTGTTCCCAAGGTTCGGGTACGTACTCACTGACATCAGTCAGACTTTGTGAGGTTACTGTCAGAGGCAGACCCAGGTGGGAAGTAGGACAGGACAGGTGTGTCGATCAGGTGTGCCACTCAGATAACCTGTTCTTCCTGTTTCAGGAGGTCCTGAACGGAGCTGGAGTAGAGATCCAACTTGCAGCAGCAGCCTCTTTTTTAACGATTCTGCAAGATGACATAATCCTGATCCACACCCACACCTACTCCATCTTAAAGACAGTCCTGCTGCACCTGAACCACCGAGACACAGGTAACAACACCTTCACAACAGAGACACAGATAGCACCGTTTGGCACAGTTTATCAAAAATCTGTTCTCAAAGAAGTTTTTTGCTGGATCTTCCTCAAGGCCAACTGAAAGTCCTTCTCCATAGCCTTCCCAAACCTTCCCCACACCAAGGTTTTTGCTTCCCTGACCTCCCCAAGGATCCATGATCAATCCTCTCTGAGGTTGGAGTTGAAGACTGGGGGTCCTTGCAGTCATTCCCAGTTCACCCTCACTACAAGTTTAGGTCTTTCTGGCAGCCTTCCCCTTCCTCTACTCCAACCCACCACCAGATGGCGATCGGTTCACAGCTCAGCTCCTTTCTGTACCCGAGTGTCCACAGGTCAAATGATACTACCACAAAGTCAAACAACCATCTTTGGCCCAGAGTCTTCTGGTACCGGGTACACTTATTAACATCCCTGTGCTTGAACACTGGTTCATAATGGCCAATCCATGACTAGCTCAGAAGTCCAATAATAAAGCACCACTCTGGTTCAGGTTAGGCAGGCTGCTCCCCCCAATTACCCCTCAAGTGTCTCAATCATTGCCCATGTGATGATGACCCTACCAGGGGCTAATGCCCCCCCGATAAACACAGTGCCTGGTTCTGAGTGTTGAGGTGCTTATGTTGACACTTATCTTGATGTTCATGTTGATCCTGATTCTGATGTTGCTGGGTTTGTTTAACAGTGGTGAGCAATGCCTGGTTGGAAACTTTGCTGTCAGCCATCAACGCTCTGCCCAAAGAGACGATCAAACAGGAGGTACTTCTATTTTACCTGTTTCCCTACTACTGTCTGTCCATCAGTCTCTCTTCCTGTCTGTCTCTTAGTGTATCTCTCTCCTTGTCTTGTTGACTCTGTAGCGGTCTTTTAACCTGTCTCTCTTCCTGTCCGTCCACCCATCTTCCTGTCTTTTTTCTTAGTGTATCCTTCTACCTGTCTTGTTAGCTCTGTAGCTGTCTTTTTATCTGTCTCTCTCTCTCTCTTTGTACCTGTCTGTCTCTCTACAGGTGCTGAACCCTCTCCTCTATCAGTCTCAGCTGTCTCACTCTCTTCAGGCTCGTCTGTCCAGTTGTCGTATTTTAGGGAAAGTCGCCTGCAAGTTTGATTCTCACATGTAAGTGTTCCAACACACACAATGTTCTTACACTTTACTTATAAAGGTAATGTGCTCAGGTGTGATGTCCTATGTTGATGTAGTATCAGGACTGTTTCCTGTGAATCAGGGTGAAGAATGAGCTGCTCCCATTGGCTCGGTCTTTGTGTCAGGATGTGGAGTTTGAGGTGCGAGCCTGTATGTGTCGCCAGCTGGAGAGCATCGCCCGGGCGACAGGGTAGCCACATCTTACAGTGAATCATATTTAATACGGATCAATGTTCTTGCCGCTGTCACAGGTTTCTCTCGTCTCTCTTTCAGGGTTGACGACACTCGAACCGAGCTGCTTCCTGAACTGGTGGAGCTCGCTGAAGACGAGGAGAGCAACGTCCGCCTCGCCGCCTTCGACACCATCATCAACTTGATGGAGATGATGGACAGCGGTGGGTGAAAAGCTTTTGTCACTTGAAGTCATCATGGTTTAAGGTTCTCTTGGGCAGTCACAGGAGAACTTTATACCATGGACTGACAGCTTGAGACACAGATCCAGATCTGTATGAACAACTTGTTTTAAAGCCTCCCCTCTCTCTCAGACGACAGAGTCCATATCGTGGTTCCCCTGGTGATGTCAGTGTGCGAGGAGGCGACACCGGCGGACAAAGCCGTCCTGGTATCTCTGTCGTTCCAGTTTGGGAAGCTCTGCAGCGGACTGGAGGGTGAGATTCAACACTGATATCACACAGTAGAAACAGAAGAAACCAGAAAACCAATATTAAACTCAAGAGGAACACGTTACGTTTTTTTCGCTACATAACGTTAAATGAAGGTGGAAGACACGTTACAGACTCAGCTGCTCAGACGACTTTGAGATCTGTTGACAAAAAACCCTCCGCATGTTATCAGAGCAAATAAAACAATATAAGAATAGATACATAGTAAATAAGCACTTAAAATATTTTAAAAAATAAGAATAAGAAGAGATTTATACATTAGAGTAAAAAAAGTGCTCCAGCACATGATCTGGAACCCAAGCTCCTGAATAACATCTGGACTCCAGGGTTTCCCAGAGTGAGGGTCACCAGGCAGGTATGAGGATATGCATGAGTCTGCAAATGTTTGCTACTGTCTTTATAAAATGAGAGTGACCTCTGTAGAGGGAGTCTTAAACTTTTGTGTGTTTAAGAACCAGACTACGGCTCAGAGTGTCTGGACTTCTTGGAGTCTTTGGGGGAACCAACCGCTGGGGACTTGGACAACTTAAGATGATGTCAGAAGGATCTCAATCTATTGGTTGTTTGGTTATGCCTGTGCTTGTCCTGGATTGTCCATAAATAGCATGTTCATGAGCTAGTTCCTGTCCATACAGCACCTTAGTCCAGAGGTTAATAATGAATTGTGTTTAACATGAAGGACTTCAGTCAGGTTCTGTTGCTCCTGGTATCAGGAAGAATCAGGGAGTACTTGAAGGGGGGATTTTTGGTCAGCCTAAAAAAAAGTTCTGCTGATTCTTGAAGAAGTTCAGAAGTGGATGCAGGGCTTAGTCCAGACCTTTTTTCAGCAGTGAGGGGATTTGCTGACCTGCCTGGGATAAGGGGGTATAGATATAGAACTCTTCCCAATAGGTTTAATAACCTGGAAGTTCCAAAATATAAGAAAGTGATTGGCTCCATCCAACAAGCATCACCACCTCCCCGATGTCTTTTCTGGGTGGGCGTAACAAGAAAATCTCACAACATTTCTCCAGCAGAACTCAGGCCATATGTTCGACCCTGTTGAGATCCACTGTAGCTGGCTTGATTTCTCCCATCTCTCCACAGATATCAGTTTTCCCACTTCTTTACATATTCTGTGCTCTATTTGTTTAGACTGTAGGATGCCATTGTACAATCTGGATGTGATTTAGTTGCATTTTCTGGACTTGAGCAATGATAGAAACAACCTGCAGAAACCCTGATTCTCCTTTTTCTAAAGCCTCTTTCAGGATTTGGTTGAAGAAAGGCCTAACTTGAAAGTATCTACAAAAGTCATCATTTCCCAACCCATAGTTATTCTGTTGAGCTTCAAAGTTCTGGGGTGCCCCCTTGTGGTCAAATTAATAATAGGTAGTTAAACCCTTTGACGTCCACTGCTTAAATCTGCTATCGTTTTTCTTAGGTGTAAAATCTGAATTGTGAGCTGACACCTCAAAAGTTTAGTTTTTCCATATCTGCAAATTTTAACTATTTCCTGCCAGGATTTCAGAAGTGTGTCCAGCATGGGGTCATCTGAAACCACCAGTCCACCCTGTCATTTGATATCTGCTAATAGGGTTGTTATTGGTATTTCTTTTCCATTGAGCCATTTACATCCTTCCACAGTGTTTGTTGGTGAACCTAGTGTTGTACTCGAAATCGCTCTTGGTTCCTGTCTCATTTTGTCTCAGAATCGAAGGCATTTTTACTCGGTCTTGTCTCGGTCTCAGACTGGGCGGACTCCGGATTTTAAACAAGACCTGTCAAGACAACCACTGATAGGCTGTGATCTTTCCAAAAGAACAATAACTCTTACTGCTCCGTGTCTTCCTGGAATGCTATGCTATTAAGTGTCTGTATGTTGTCCTCAGGACTGTGTCGTCAGTGATAAGCTGTTGTTGTTTTTCAGGCTTCCTTTCAGACGAGCAGAAGAGCCGGTTGCTGCAGAGGTTTAGGGTTCTGTGTGTCGCTGGTCTGCAGACTGAGGGGAACCAGACTGAAGGCAGCAACGAGTCCCATCCTGGTCCGCTGCAACTGCTGCTACAACCTGCCTGTAAAGACAGAAAAGACTCAGAGATCCAGAGTTTAACTGGTTAACTCTTTAATCCTTCAAACACATGATGTCACTTCCTGCTCTCTCGCTCTCCCTCTACAGGCCATGGTGGTGTTTGCTGAAACAGCTCACTTCCTGTCAGAGCTCTACCCGTCTTTCTCCAGTCTCTGTTGTGACCCAGAGGTCAGCGTTCGACGAAGTGCTGCGGCCGGTTTCCACCAGGTCAGACCTTCAGCTTCCTCTGATTTTTTTCTTACAGTGTTACATCTGCTGGAGGAAACACTCGTGACCACTATCTGTGGCGGTATCAGTCCGATGTTTGGCTTCTCCATGAGGACAGAAGGACAGGACAATAAAGCACAAAACTTGTGCAGAGGTGTGCAGAGTGTGGCTAATGTTAGCAGCGCTAGCACCACCAGCCTTCAGTCTTCCCTGCAGGTTAACGTCCACACATCTGTGCTGAATGCTCATTGATGTCCGAGTTTAACCTGACTCAGCCAACAACATACAACTTAATCTCCATTTTATAGATCTAAACACTGAAAGACCGCTCTGCTCCTATCAGATGCTATCTGTTCACTGAGCTTGTTTACATCCAGGTAGTAGAGCGAGGAGAGCAGGACCATCAAGCAGAGCTAGACCAACATCTAAAAATATAAATAATTCTACAACCAACTTGTAATTCGGAAGACTAGTAGCAAGAGTGATGACTTTTAAACCACCTAAATGTGCATTTAAAGATCTCCTGATGCCCCGCCTTGTTCTGTCAGGTGGTCAAACTGCTTGGTTCAAACGTCCAGCTGGTCCACAAAGAGCTGCTGGCTCTTCTGCAGGACGACGCTCTGGAGGTGAGAGGTCACACCTGCATGCTGCATCATAGTGGGGATTTTGTTTATACAGTATGAATTGTATTTGTGTAAAATGGGGACAGTGCACATCAATGAATAGAAACATGTAAATATGCCAGAACTTCTGTCTGTAGTCCAGGCTGGTAGGCAAGGCAGGTTTATTCCTGACATCAGCACACACACATTCAATCTTAGCTTGTAGCATAGAGTGTGTTTATGCTGAAGCTTCCTTTGTTCTTGTTGCTGAGGTGTTGGACGCTCTGATGAATCACCTGGAGGAAACTCTGGAGGCGGTCCTTTCCAGAGGAGAGAATGTGACGCTGGACAATAAGGTAAGACCAGGACCAGACTTCTCCAGGATTAAAGCCACTTCTGGGTTTAACAATCCTTCAGTTCTTCCTCTTCCCCTTCTTTGTGATAGCTCTCTGAAAAGTCTCATTTTGTCTTCTTCAGCAGTTCCTTATCTTGCTCCTCTTGTCTCCTTCGGTCCCTGATCAGATCCCTGAGCTCTTGGCGGCTCTGCTGTTAGCGGAGCAGAAGGTCGGATGTTCCCTGCGTTGGCGGCTCCACGAGAAGCTGCTGCAGCGTTACAGCTACCTGGCCCGACTGCTGCCCGGAGAAGTGCTGCACCAGAGCTTCTCCCCTCGCATCTTCATCATCCTCACCACCAACGTCAGTGTGACAGCAGCACACCATGCAGCACATTCTGACTGACAGATCAGACGGGTAACTTCCCCTTTTGGTTCTCGTTGTTGCAGAAGGTGTTGCCTGTTCAGAAGGAGGCGGCTCGGACCTTCTGCATGTTCCTACGGTACAACCGGAAACACGACCAGCGTCAGGAGATGATGGAGCGACTGATCCAAGGTCAGAATACTGCACACTTCATCCCCAGGTGTTTGTGCTCACAGGTCTGACAGCCTCGGGTTAAAAACACATAACACCAGAGAAGAACATGATGCAGTCAGCTGTTTTAGATTTGGTCCACTGGATTTGAATGTAGAGGCATTCTGTGGTCAGTTTGTAAAAGGATGAACCTACAGCAGAATCCCATGTGATGCTGACTAACCAATCACTAACGGCTGTCTTCTGGATCCTTAGATCTGGCTCAGGGGCGGAGCTACTGGAACCGTCTGAGATTCCTGGACATCTGTGAAATGGCGACAGAGATTTTCTCCAGAAAATACTTCAACAAACACTTTCTGATGCCAGCTCTAGAGCTCGTCCACGACCCCGTCGCCAACGTCAGGTAGCGTCCTACGCATTTGAGTCTGTTAGGGAAGGTCAAACCCCGTCTCTCTGTGTCACACACCTGTCTGTCTCTTTTCACCCGTCTGTCAGGTACAAGCTCTGCCAGCTGTTACCCAGATTGCGTTCATCGCTCCGTCTGCCGGCCGACAAGCAGCTGCTGCAGCAGCTCGACTTCTGCGTCCAGAAGCTCCTCTGCAGAGAGAAAGACAAGGATGTGGTGGCCACCATCCGCAAGGTAACACTGTCCCACCTTAGACCTGTCAGGGATGTGATGGTGGTGTAAGATAAATACTGTCCAGAGATACCAGTCCTGACCTGCTGTCAGAGGGCTGTGATGATGTTGTCATGTCTGTGTTATGTCTATATATTCTTGTTTCATTTTGTTCACCTTATCACCAATTTTTTTTTAAAAAGAAGGGGGGACTGTGATGAATTAACTGTCTTCATGATGTCTTTCAGACAGTGTTGGAACTGGACAAACTGGACCTCACAGAGCCTGTACGCTTGCTTCTTTTCGTGAAGGACTAAAATAATTCACAGCTGAGGTTTGTGGTTCCCCTCTCTAACCTTCATGGGGTCTGTTTTGTGTTTGCAGTTTCACAAGAGACAGGAGAGGGATCTACTGGACCAGAAGAAGGAGAAGGAGGAGACTCTACTATTGGAGATGGTGAGTCTGAACCTGCAGATCAACCTTCAGTCTGAATCACTGTATTTGGTTCTGATGGCATCTCGTCTGTCGTCAGGAACAGCTGGAGCGCCAACAGACCGACGGGAAACTGAACTCTGATAAACATACAGAGAGGAAACGTAAGAACAAGTTATTTCTGCAGACTGGGAGATGTCTGGAGCAAATGTGAAGGACATGTAAAAGTTGTGTATCACATGGTCAGCATTGGTTAATTAGTGTTTTCCTGCTTTGAGTTCCAGTCCTGTAAAGGTTTCTCTCTTTAACAGGAAGAGACAGCAAGACCAGTCTTTCAGCTACCAAATCCATGTCTGTGTCCTCATCTGGAGCTGCCTTCTCCTCCTCCGGTAAGAATCCAGTACACTGAAGATGAGCTAGGTGTGACCTCAGAAAAAACCTTGTGTTCAAACCTGATGATGAGGATGATTCTTGTTCCTACAGGTAAAGAGATGAGGAAGGCTAAACTGTCGCGGAGTCGGTCCCTCAGCAGTCAGCCGACGATATCCAAAGCTGCCAACTCAGACAGACCTCTGTAAGACCACAACACCAGATCCACATTTAAATGTCCCAAAGTTTAGTGTTTTTAAGGAGGTGTACGTCTAATGGAAGCTGGGATCAGTCAGTGGATCGTTGAGCCGTTGTACTGGACCACTACTGAGGGCAAGCAGGGGATCTCTATGGATCAGCTGTGATCCTGGTCTCTGGGGATCAGCTGTGATCCTGGCCTCTATGGATCAGCTGTGATCCTGGTCTCTATGGATCAGCTGTGATTCTGGTCTCTGGGGATCAGCTGTGATGCTGGTCTTTGGGTGGTGACAGAAAGGTGATCGATCAAAGTGGGTGAAGAGGGAGCTGGTTCAGCCTTAGAGAAAGGGGGAGGAGCTCAGACATCAGAGGGAGCTTGGTGTAGAGCAGCTGCTTAGCCTGACACCACCATGACCTGGCCCCGGATACATAGAAGAGAAGGAATGGTTGATTGAAGCAAGCAGCTAAAACCAGTTTCAGTTTCCTTTGCAGGTCTCTGGACTCAAATACAGACCTGCTTCCTCCTGATGTTTGCTGATGGGATCCATTGACTGGTGTATCCCATCAGACCAGGGAAGATCCGTACTAGCAGGAGTCTACGTACCCTCAGGTGTGGGAACACCTCAGGGTCCTACGGCAAGAACCTGTCTGAAATCCACTTCTTTGATGCTGTGGTGATCCTGTCCCCCGTCCTCTGTTCATCCATCAGATACTTTGTTCTCATCGTCTGTTCAACTTCCTCTGATGAGCCTTGAGCCTCTGGGCTGGATGAAGTTAAGGCGTTGTTTGTTGCTTTCCTGCTTAGACCATCAACAAGAGCCTGATCGATCAGGAATACCTTCCAGCTTTTATTTGGAATCCAAAGAAGACTTAAGCCACATGGCAAGTCTACCCGTGATGACCACCCCTTGTTCTCTACTTATCTTTAGTGGTACTTACCCATAATGTAAGGTGAGAAGTTAGAGCCACATGGGGGGTCCTGAAGAGATAGGGGTTAAGTTTGAGTTCCAAAACCAAGTCCCCAGGATTGAGCTGATGTGTCCTTGATGTGATTAGGATCCTCCTGGACGCCAGCTCAGAAGTTGTTGCTAGATCTAAAGTTACTTAACTAGACTCTGGTGATCTAATGTTCTCTTTCTTTGTTCTCTGTTACAGGAAAGGCAAAGAGCTGAGTGGTACATCTGGATCCGGGAAGTCCTCCAATAAAGGTACCGCCTGTCACACACCCCTGCACAGTTCACAGTCAGTTTCAGGACTGCAGAATCATGGCAGTCAAGAGGACAGTCCTTGTCTTTCTTTTTATTCATACAGAGCTTTTGTTTTATAGACGACTCTTTGAGGACTGCCCACTTCACCATGGCAACCCAGTCCACCTCCTCCATGCCGGTCCTGATCCGCAGCAACACCACTGGCCTCCTAGACAGGGCCAGTGCACTAGAACACAGAAGTAGTAGTAGTACCATGGATCACAGGACAAGCACTCTAGATCAGAGAGATCATAGATCCAGTGCACTGGATCACAGAACCAGTAACATGGACCATAGAACCAGTACCATTGACCACAGAACCAGTAACATGGACCACAGAACGAGTACCATGGACCACAGAACGATTACCATGGACCACAGAACCAGTACCATGGACCACAGAACCAGTAACATGGACCACAGAAATGATGGGATGGACCACAGAACCAGTACTTTGGACCATAGAACCAGTACTTTAGACCACAGAACCAGTACTTTGGACCATAGGACCGGTACTTTAGACCACAGAACCAGTACAATGGACCATAGGACCAGTACTTTAGACCATAGGACCAGTACTTTGGACCACAGAACCAGTATTTTGGACCAAAGAGCCGGTTCCATTGATCAGAGAGACCATAAAACCAGTACCTTGGACCAGCGTAGTAAAACGATGGATCGGAGCTGCGGGATAAAGGACAGCCAGTCCAGAAAACTGTCGATGTGAGTTCAGATTAATTGTTAAAGAAAAATTCTACAAGTATATGAACCCAATCAGTTTTTACAGTTTGTAAGCCAAAAAGCACTGGACCAGGTCCAGGAAGCCAGTATCCCACCTTCAACTAGCAATCTGAGAGCGCCCTTGAGCTTGAGCAAAGTTTTCTTGTTTAACTAATTCCAAGTTTGGGTCGTTTGCGGTTTCACAAAGAATTGTTATTTAGCAATGAAAGGCTGGCACCATATTTAGCATTTTAGTTGAGCATTCTGTTTAGCCTTTTTTAACCTCAGAAATTCCTGTTGTGAGCTTACTGGTGTTAGCATCTCTCTTCAGTGCAGATTAATCAGATTATTGAAGATTTGTTTGGGGATCCAGGTTGAACTTTTAATTCCATTGTTCTCCTTTTTTTTTTATGATTTACAGAAACAGGAAGTCAAACTCTTTCACCATCCAATCAGCACGAGACTGAAGATGATGTCATGATACCGCTACCAGGGAATCAACAAATCAGCTTCAGGAGTTGAAGGATGAATGCACGACTCAGAACGTTACCCGGAATGCACCAGGCAGAGACAGTCTGAATACTGTTTGAAAATACTGAGCTGCTTTTATTTTCTTAACACCATACTGTAATGATTTCCTGCTGTCCTCTGATTGGCTCAGTAAAGTCCACACATACAAACTAACACTGTGTTTTATTGGTTGTTGTTTTTTTCTGCTGACGTTTGATTGTTTAACAGTCAAACAAGCCCAAACACTTGAACTCTTATTTTAATGTATCTTGAGTCTGATTTAGACTTCTGTCTGCCTATTGGTTGGAGTATGTGATGTCACTGGTCAAGGTTTCAAAGCAAAGGTTTACTGCAGTGTTTTAACAGGTGTTTATTCAAATAGCTCTAAAACAGTAAACATGTTTTTTATAGTGTATTTATTTAAACAGACACATAGTCGACATGATAAGTCATAAAACTGAACAGTTTGAGTGTTTTCATGCTAACGTTGCTATACATAGTGCAGCTGAGGCTAATATGATGTCATCAGTTTATCATGTTAGTCTTTTAAAAGCCTGCAATTACCTACATAACACATGCTAACGTTAGCTTACCAGTGCATTAAATAAAGTCTATAAAACACATGCTAATGTTAGCTAACTATAGCGTTAAAGTCCATGAAACACATGCTAACGTTAGCTAACTAGAGCACTGATGTCCACAAAACACATGCTAACATTAGCTAACATGTCCAGAAGTTACATGCTAACACTAAGTATCAATTAATGTTTTTATAACACATTATAAGAAAAGAGTAAAGACCATATTCCTGTGGCGGCCATGTTTCCATGACGTCACACTCGGGACGTTAAGCTCAGGAGGTGTCATCATGTCGTTCTGTTATGTTCAAGGTTGTTAGTGATATAAACGTCTAGAATGTGACACCTGTTTGCTAATGTTACCAAGCTTTATTCTGGGAAGTGATAAAATGATTCTGGACGTTTATCTGACTAAAAACCTTGAACATAACAGAATGACATGGTAACATTTGAGCTTCCCGCCCTAAGCGTATCGTCATGATAACATCCTCGCAGCAGGAACATGGTTTATGACCAGTATACACAGAGGACAGCTGATGGTGCGTTCCATTTAATCTCGGAATTCTGTCTAGTACCTCATCAGTAATGCCCCCCTGAAGTTGGAAGTCGGACTTGGTAACTCGGAGAACTTTTAGTAGCCCAAGCTAAAATCCAACATGGCTGCTCCATGCATCAACAGTAACGTTTAATCTGTAACTATTGTGGTTTGCAAACTATCACGTAGTGTGTTGTTATCTTCTGGTTTAAGATAACAAAGCAAAGGTACTCCATGTAGCTTGTTACCAACTCATAACTGGAAAGTGATCAACTCGGGTGTGATGTCAAATCCAGCTCCGACTTCCAAGATCAATGGAACGCACCATGAGGCTGACGGGAATGTCTTCAGATCTGCAGGTGTTTGGTCATCATGTTTTTTAACATGTTGACCAGCAGAGGGCGCTGGATTAAAGATTATCGTCAGGGAACCGACAGCTCAACATGAAGGTCTGAAAACAACCTTTAGAACTTCAGGTTTATTTTCTTGCTTACATTTTCTCAGGAAAACAGGTGAACATGGTTTACCTGCTAGGGCTTTATGTAAACTGACAGGAAGTACAGACTAACATGTGTAGACTCAGGTGGGCGGGGCTAAGCATCCTGTCAGGTAAACATTTTATTTCTTGGAGGGGTCGACAACTCGGCCCATGAAGAGCACGCTGTCACTCGTCTGCTGGTAGATGACGAACATGAAGGGTCTGTTTATGGTCAGTCGAGGAGGAAGAGTGGAGAACGCATTGACCCCGCCTCCTGTGGTGATGTCATCCGCGCTCTCATCGACGGCCATGACAGATTTTTGATAAACCTGAAGACAGGCCACAGGTAGGAAATGTAATGTCAGAATGACAGAAAAGACAAAAGTGAGAGACGATAATCAGGGAAAGTAGAAATAACACACACACAGGTAAATAAGTGAACAGGTGAACAAGGGGACATGTGAACAAGGGGACAGGTGAACAAGGGGACAGGTGAACAAGGGGACATGTGAACAATGGGACAGCTGAACAAGGGGACATGTGAACAAGGGGACAGGTAAATAAATGAACAGGTGAACAAGGGGACAGGTGAACAAGGGGACAGGTAAATAAGTGAACAGGTGAACAAGGGGACAGGTGAACAAGGGGACATGTTAACAAGGGGACATGTGAGAAAGTGAACAGGTGAACAAGGGGACAGGTGAACAGGTGAACAAGGGGACATGTGAACAAGTGAACAGGTGAACAAGGGGACAGGTGAACAGGTGAACAAGGGGACATGTGAACAAGTGAACAGCTGAACAAGGGGACATGTGAACAAGGGGACAGGTAAATAAGTGAACAGGTGAACAAGGGGACAGGTGAACAGGTGAACAAGGGGACATGTGAACAAGTGAACAAGGGCACATGTGAACAAGGGGACAGGTGAACAAGGGGACATGTGAACAAGGGGACATGTGAACAAGGGGACAGGTGAACAAGGGGACATGTGAACAAGTGAACAAGGGGACATGTGAACAAGGGGACAGGTAAATAAGTGAACAGGTGAACAAGGGGACATGTGAACAAGGGGACAGGTAAATAAGTGAACAGGTGAACAAGGGGACATGTGAACAAGGGAACAGGTGAACAAGGGGACAGGTGTTTTTTCACATTGTAGAACACACAGGGTTCTGTTTTTTATTTAACTGAGCGACTGTGTTTCAAAATCTCTTTTTTTTTTAAATACCTGAACCAACAGTCTTTTTCTAAACTGGACCAGGTGTGTTTACCTGGTTTTGTTGATTGTGTAACTTTAACTTTTTTATTAATTACTGGAAGGTTTAACCATTTTAATTAGATCTGATTTTAAATGATGTTACATTAGTTTAAATTCTTTCACCTGAGTTTAATTTCTCACCTGTGTGAGTTTGAGCCCTTCAGCTCCGCCCATGTTGATGATGTCAGCATCGTCCTGAAACACCTTTGTGATGCTGAGAGTCTCCAGGACGTCACGCAGAGAGTACGAACGCTCCAACAGGAAGCGAGGCAGCTGCACCTCCAACTTCCTGTTCAAAAAACACAAAGAAAAAAACCTTAACAGCCTGAAATGTAAGTAAAGTACAACATACCTTTAATCCCTGAATATATCTCCGACCCCCAGGTAATCTGAATGTTCATGTTTATCAGTTTTAGATATTTTATCTCTGAACACAGCCTCGTCTCTGCAGTAAAGCTTTTAATGCTGCTGTTGCCTAGCGACAAGACGTCATGACATAACCATCTGAGCACAAAGTGTGTATCACATGAATAACTCTGATCCAAACAACATGTCAACACAGCTGTTCTAAGGCAGCCAAAGACCGGGGAGGGATGAAGGAAAGGACACAAGGAAAGGGAAGAAGGAAAGGATGGATGGAGAAAGAAGAGTTGAGATAAAAAGTAAGAAGGATTTTTAGAAACTAAGGAAAAAGGAAGGAGAGGAAAGAAGTGAAGGAAAGATGAAAGGGAGACAGGAAAGGAAACAAGGTGTCTCACGTCTTCTTCAGCTGTCTGATCCACGCCCGGATCTTCTCGCCGGTCACTTCCTCCTCCACGGAGGTGATGTCGACATCTTCGTCAGGCAGCACAACCAACATGGCCACCCCGTCCACCATTGACAGCCTCAGCACGCCGACCTTCAGAGAGCGGTCGTACGCCAGGAAGTACTTATCCGCCCGGAACATCATGGGAACCATGACGACGTGATACTTGTCCACAAAGAAACGCTCGTCCTGAGTGACGGAGGCGTTAAAGGATGGACTGAAGCGGACTGAGACAGAGAGAAAAAACTTTATTAACAAACAGCAGGGCGGTCGATTCTTATTCTAAAGTCAAACACGTAACGGGATGTTCTTATTGAAAATATTCAAACAGCTCACTGATTGGTGGAGAGACATGGGGTCACTCTCCAAGCTGGCTCGCAAATATTTAAGTACCTGGAACGTGTGTGTGCTCTGAACGGACGTCAGCAGGACATAATGTAAATATAATATAATGACTTCAAATCTTTTACAAAACAGGTGAAATGCTCAAAGCAAGCCAGAGCTGAACCCACTTTTAATTAATATCTTCAAACTTTGTAGTTGTATGTATCCTCATATCGTGTTTTGGGGTTTTATGTATGTTGTACATTTTAATCTGTTTGTTTACACAAAGGCCCAACTGGGGACACAAGTTGGAAATTAGCAATATACTCTTTATGCAGCACATCAGTTTCATGCTTTGTGTTGAAATTATGTTAAATTGCATCGTCCCTATTAAATAAATAAATTCAAATAACAAGAGAGCTTCACTCGATCCTGATCTAGTTGATATACGATACTGCCGTCATCGAGTCCATCCTCTCCTCCTCCATCATAACCCAGACTCTCCTCAGCCCCACAGTCAGAAAACATCACAGCATGAAGGAACTGTTTTGATACGTTACATTAACGCTCACTTTTTACATGTGAGTAGATTTATAAACTGTAAGATTTGTTTCATTATCAAACTGCACAGATCCTCCACTGCACATTTTGTACATTTTTTGTTTCTGATATTTTTAATTAAATTGTATTTTGTAATTGCTTCCATATTTTATTATTTAAGTTGTTGCTATTTTTAGGGCCCGAGCACGAATCGTGCGAGGACCCTCTCAGCGATTATTCTTCTTTTTATTGTTCCTCCTCTTTGAGGCCACTTTTGAGGGCCTGAACGTGCCCGAAAACTCACCAACCTTTCCACGCTCATCAGGTCTCGTGAAAAATTGCATATTTTTGTGGTTTCGTAAAATAAATTCGCAAAATGGCTCAGTGGCGCCCCCATGAAAATTTCAAAATGGCCCCCCATAAAGATTTTTTTCACGTACACTCACGAAAATTGGTACGCATATTAAGCTTGTCGGGACGGACTAAAAATCCGTCCCTCTACTAAGCGGCGTATTTTGGCTTCAAGAACGTTGAGTGGGAACAGCTACAGTGCGCGCCCACTGGTTTCAACATGCCAGTACCACGACTTCTCCACAAATCGAACTGCACGGCGTGCTGCTTAACCACGACATGCAGAGCGGTGCGAGGGCCCTTCATCACCAGCAGCTTTAATTTTTGCTTTATTATAATTAATAATAATATATAATATAATATATAATAATATAATTTTTTCCCTTTTTAACTGTTTTTGCACCAAAACACCAAAACAAGTTCCTTCTATGTGTAAATGTACTGAGCAATAAAACCTGATTCTGATTCTGAATCTGATTCTGATTCTGATTCTGATTCTGATTCTGAATCTGAATCTGATTCTGAATCTGATTCTGATTCTGAATCTGATTCTGAATCTGATTCTGATTCTGAATCTGATTCTGATTCTGAATCTGAATCTGATTCTGAATCTGATTCTGATTCTGAATCTGAATCTGATTCTGAATCTGATTCTGATTCTAGACTTGAGGTTCTGGCAAAAAAATATCTGATATCCACTCTTGTGCTACGGGGGAATGAAACGCTGAAACCGTTTTGATGGCCCTAACACACTCGACACGTGATACGCACTCTGGTAGGTTGCAGCGGTGGCGAGCAGCAGCTTGGTCTGGGGGTCCACGGTGGTCACCAGCTCCAGGACCTGGTCTCCGGTGTTCCCCTGGACCCAGCTGTTGATGGCATCGGAGGCGTCCAGCGGCGTTGTGTAGTCTAAAGTCTGAACATTTCCCCCGAATTGAGTCTTCACCTGGTCCAGGTAAGAAGACTCCACCTCGACGCCCTGAGAAGGGAAGATGGCCACGCCCTGTCTGAGGTTGGAGGCCACGCCCCCCTGTAGGACGGCGGTCCTCAGGCTCTGAAAGAGATCTGAGAAGACGCAGTGTAAGCTAACCGTTTAAACCCAACCCATCAACCACATGACCTCTGACCTACCGGGGACGCTCTGAGGCTCCAGGCCGCTCAGGCTGAGACCCTGAAGCAGCTGATCCTGACTCTGCCCGCCGGTGGCGCCGAGCAGCGCCGACAGCCCGTTGGACAGCGTGAACGTGGAGAGGAAGACGTTGTCATCAGTGGTGCTGGAGACGGCTCGGTACAACCGTGCTGCGAAGTCTGCGTTCCTATTGGTCAGATCCTGCAGGGAGGGGCCGAGGGTCTGAGAGGACGCCAGAGTTAGGAGCACGAGGCCGACCAATGACAGAAGAGTAGATGAGGCCATGATCACAGTGCCCCCTGCTGGAAGAAGAAGTCAAGTTTACAGAGTTTAATAAATATATAAAGAATATAAATCAAAACAACAAAGATGATGATGTTAGCTTAACATGCTAGTTAGCTTAACATGCTCCTTAGCTTAACTTGCTCCTTAGCTTAACATGCTAGTTAGCTTAACATGCTAGTTAGCTTAACATGCTCCTTAGCTTAACATGCTCCTTAGCTTAACATGCTAGTTAGCTTAACATGCTCCTTAGCTTAACATGCTAGTTAGCTTAACATGCTCCTTAGCTTAACATGCTCCTTAGCTTAACATGCTAGTTAGCTTAACTTGCTCCTTAGCTTAACATGCTAGTTAGCTTAACATGCTAGTTAGCTTAACATGCTCCTTAGCTTAACATGCTAGTTAGCTTAACATGCTCCTTAGCTTAACATGCTCCTTAGCTTAACATGCTCCTTAGCTTAACATGCTAGTTAGCTTAACATGCTCCTTAGCTTAACATGCTCCTTAGCTTAACATCCTCGTTAGCTTAAAATGCTCCTTAGCTTAACATGCTCCTTAGCGTAATATGTTTGTTAGCTTAATATGCTAGTTAGCTTAACATGCTCATTATCTTAATATGTTTGTTAGCTTAACATGCTAGTTAGCTTAACATGCTCCTTAGCGTAATATGTTTGTTAGCTTAATATGCTAGTTAGCTTAACATGCTCATTATCTTAATATGTTTGTTAGCTTAACATGCTCCTTAGCTTAACATGCTCCTTAGCGTAATATGTTTGTTAGCTTAATATGCTAGTTAGCTTAACATGCTCATTATCTTAATATGTTTGTTAGCTTAACATGCTCGTTAGCCGCTCTACATTTTTTAAATTGAACTATTTAAAGTGTAAATAAATAAAAGAGGTCATGTGGACCAGCCTCTCGGTTCGTTATTTTAGAAACAGGCTGTTAACTTTTATAATTTAGCCTTCTCTAGCCCCTCCTCCTAGCTAGCCCCGCCCACAACTCCAAATATGGTCACTTCCTGTTAGATCAGTTTGCAGGACGTTCTAACGGATCGATAACAGAACACTGTGTTGGCAGGGCGTTGACCTGATATCTGACGTCATTAATCAACAGTGACGTCACTAAGTGTGACCTGATATCTGACGTCATTAATCAACAGTGACGTCACTAAGTGTAACATTATTATTATTCTGTAAATAAAAGATGTTTTTGTTCCTGATCTGCTCTGTCTGTCTGGCTCCGTTATTCTGGATCGATTAAGTCTCCTGAAGATGAAACAGCTGCTGTCAACAACAACAAAAACAACAACAAAAACCACCGGAAACAAACAACAACACAAACACACTGACCTCGCGTCGATCGTAGATCAGCTGTTGTTCTGCTCTCGAGCTTCAATAGTTGCGTATCACCATCGAGCTCGCGCCCCGACAAGACAACAGCATCCTTAGTTTCCGGTCGCGTTTTTTCAGAATAAAAGCGGCGTCCTCACGCAGCAACGGCGTGTCAAAAAACGGTGTGACTACGGAAGCCCAGAAGTACTGACGATGGTTTATTAATGTAATAAATATTATCTGATAAAGATAATAATCGGTCAGTTTTAGAAAACAGTCACTCCTCATCATCTTCCTCAACTGATCAGTTTGTCTTTAATCTCATTTAATTTAAACTTCATTTGATTAAAAATATAAAAACTGACAGATTTAAAACAGTTATTCAATTAATGTTAAACACATTTATGACTGACATTATGCTTTTATTTTGAAAGCGGCTCCTCGACACTTCTCCTTGCCTTCAGAGGGTAAAACGCGCAGGCGCATTAAGAGGAGTCTGACGTCATGCTGGTGGTATGTACAAGGACCAGCAGGGGGCGCTGCAGCAGAGGGGGCAAACTGTACTAATGATACAAAGTAAATAAAACAGATTTAAAACATAATTCAACTATTCAAAATGAATTTAATTATTAAATAAAATAAATTATCAGCTGATGAAGTCAGAAAACATCAAAGAATAATAAATAGTTCAGAGTATATTTACTCAGCGATATAAACACATATTAAACCTTTGATCAGTTTTTACTCTTTAATAAAGAATCTTTCAGCTCAGTGTCGTGTTCAGAGACATTTTTTATCAAAAGTCAAACTTTAATATCGTTTCTTTATTATGTACAAGTTAAAAAAAATATAGACACAGGCGTCATCTGGAGAGACATTTGTCTTAAGTCTGGACCCCTCGGACCCCTTCTCTCCAGACCGCTGCGTCTCGTCCGTCTCGGGCCAGGTGAGGAGCAAACACCACCTCCAGCCTGCGGAGGGCGCTGTGCTGATCGCCCTGAGAAACGCTCCCCTGGAGACGCCGCAGCATCAATCGAACCATCACCTGATTGGCCCAGGCCAGACCGAGAGCTGGAGACACGCTGGAGGACAGAGGGCTGAAGGGAAAGGGTTAAGAGTCACATGACCTGAAGAAACCGCCGCCATGACACTCAACGAGAAACATAACGTCAGACTGAGAGCAAAAAACTCATGTTACCCCAAAGTGTCGTCTGAGCCGCTGAACATATCCGTCACCTGAAACACACACGAGTCAAACGAGTCACTGACACGAGTCAAACGAGTCACTGAAACGAGTCAAATGAGTCACTGACACGAGTCAAACGAGTCACTGAAACGAGTCAAATGAGTCACTGACACGAGTCAAATGAGTCACTGACACGAGTCAAATGAGTCACTGACACGAGTCAAATGAGTCACTGAAACGAGTCAAACAAGTCACTGAAACGAGTCAAATGAGTCACTGACACGAGTCAAACGAGTCACTGACACGAGTCACTGACACGAGTCAAATGAGTCACTGACACGAGTCAAATGAGTCACTGACACGAGTCAAATGAGTCACTGACACGAGTCAAACAAGTCACTGAAACGAGTCAAATGAGTCACTGACACGAGTCAAACGAGTCACTGACACGAGTCACTGACACGAGTCACTGACACGAGTCACTGACACGAGTCACTGACACGAGTCACTGACACGAGTCAAACGAGTCACTGACACGAGTCAAACAAGTCACTGACACGAGTCACTGACACGAGTCAAATGAGTCAAACGAGTCACTGACACGAGTCAAACAAGTCACTGACACGAGTCAAACAAGTCACTGACACCAGTCAAACGAGTCACTGACAAGAGTCAAACGAGTCACTGACACGAGTCAAACTTGACCAGTCAAACGAGTCACTGACAAGAGTCAAACGAGTCACTGACACGAGTCAAACTTGACCAGTCAAACGAGTCAAACGAGACCAGTCAAACGAGTCACTGACACAAGTCAAACGAGACCAGTCAAACGAGTCACTGACACCAGTCAAACAAGTCAGTGACACCAGTCAAACGAGTCACTGACAGGAGTCAAACGAGCCACTGACACCAGTCAAACGAGACTAGTCAAACGAGTCAGTGACACCAGTCAAACAAGTCAGTGACACCAGTCAAACGAGTCACTGACAGGAGTCAAATGAGCCACTGACACGAGTCAAACGAGACCAGTCAAACGAGTCACTGACACCAGTCAAACGAGTCAAATGAGTCAAACGAGTCACTGACACCAGTCAAACGAGCCACTGACACGAGTCAAACGAGTCACTGACACCAGTCAAACGAGTCACTGACACCAGTCAAAAGAGTCACTGACACCAGTCAAACGAGTCACTGACACCAGTCAAACGAGTCGAAACGAGTCAAACAAGTCACTGACATGAGTCAAACGAGTCACTGACACGAGTCAAAGGAGACCAGTCAAACGAGTCACTGACAGGAGTCAAACGAGTCACTGACAGGAGTCAAACGAGTCACTGACACGTGTCCCACGAGTGGGGGCTGACGTGTGTGTGTGTTACCTGGTTGACACACAGCACAGGTGTGTTGTGCTCCTGGCTCAGCTGATGAAGTTTGGAGGAGAAGCTGATCAGCTGTTTGTTCCTCTCCAGCCAATCAGATGGCTGGAACTCACACCTGAACAGAGCCGCCACAGAGTCTACGATCACGAGGCGAACCAGACCCCGAGTCAGCAGGAGGGGCACCCGGTGAGTCACACACTCCTGGAGAGAGTCCTGCGGGTACACAGGGGTCAAAGGTCACGTGGTTATCGACCAATAAGTCAGACCAGGCGGTGGATCAGACTCACCAGGTCGGCGGCGTGCTCGATGTACACGTTGTTGCTGAACTCGATGGAGTTGATCAGAGACTCGGGGACGTCTGAGCGCAGACTCGACTGCTCTCTGATCAGCTGCTGCAGGCGACGACTTGGAAACGAGTCCTCGGTGCAGATAAACACGGCTCCTACAGATTTAGATATTATATTATTGATCCCTGACTCTGAAACCTGGTTGGTGTTGCGTTCACTGACCTGAGTCCAGCCCCCCCTGCTGGACAGGGTACTGTACTGACAGGCAGAGCTGCAGAGCCAGCTGAGTCTTCCCCGCTCCGCTCTCTCCTGACAGCTCAGTGACGCCCCCCACAGGAAGACCGCCCCTCAACAGCTCATCGAGGACCGCACACCCCACACTGAGTCTGAGAGAGGAGGGGTCATCATGGAGCAGGAGGGCTACACACACACACACACACACACACACACACACACACACACACACTTAATTCACGCTGTGACATCACTCTGAGTGGTCCAATAACTCAGCATCCTGACCTGACCTGTGATTGGACGATGTCGTCTGCAGGCGTTGGCGGCGGCTCTGAGCAGCTGCTGGACATCAGAGCGAGACAGACCGAGCGTGTGCAGGTCCTGACCGCAAGACAACACGTCCCTGACAGACCGCAACTTAGCTGTACAAAAACAACAACTACAGGTTACTATGGCAACAACAGAAAGAACAACATGTGGAACAACAAACAGCCGAGAGCTGTGAGACAGGTAGGTGAGGTGTGAGAGACAGGTAGGTGAGGAGAGAGAGACAGGGAGGTGAGGTGTGAGAGACAGGTAGGTGAGGTGTGAGAGACAGGTAGGTGAGGAGAGAGAGACAGGTAGGTGAGGAGAGAGAGACAGGTAGGTGAGGAGAGAGAGACAGGTAGGTGAGGTGTGAGAGACAGGTAGGTGAGGAGAGAGAGACAGGTAGGTGAGGTGTGAGAGACAGGTAGGTGAGGAGAGAGAGACAGGTAGGTGAGGAGAGAGAGACAGGTAGGTGAGGAGAGAGAGACAGGTAGGTGAGGAGAGAGAGACAGGTAGGTGAGGTGTGAGAGACAGGTAGGTGAGGTGTGAGAGACAGGTAGGTGAGGAGAGAGAGACAGGTAGGTGAGGAGAGAGAGACAGGTAGGTGAGGAGAGAGAGACAGGTAGGTGAGGTGTGAGAGACAGGTAGGTGAGGAGAGAGAGACAGGTAGGTGAGGTGTGAGAGACAGGGAGGTGAGGTGTGAGAGACAGGTAGGTGAGGAGAGAGAGACAGGTAGGTGAGGTGTGAGAGACAGGGAGGTGAGGTGTGAGAGACAGGTAGGTGAGGAGAGAGAGACAGGTAGGTGAGGTGTGAGAGACAGGGACGTGAGGTGTGAGAGACAGGTAGGTGAGGAGAGAGAGACAGGTAGGTGAGGTGTGAGAGACAAGGAGGTGAGGAGAGAGAGACAGGTAGGTGAGGTGTGAGAGACAGGGAGGTGAGGTGTGAGAGACAGGTAGGTGAGGAGAGAGAGACAGGTAGGTGAGGAGAGAGAGACAGGGAGGTGAGGTGTGAGAGACAGGGAGGTGAGGTGTGAGAGACAGGTAGGTGAGGAGAGAGAGACAGGTAGGTGAGGAGAGAGAGACAGGTAGGTGAGGTGTGAGACAGGTACCTCTCCTCACGGCTGCTCTGATTCTCGGGTTCAGCTCCAGCTGCTCCATGTCCATCTCCCCGCCGAGGACATGCTGAGTCCCACCGAGTGTTATCAGAGTCCCAACGAGTCACAGAGAGAGTTATCAGAGTCCCAACGAGTCACAGCGAGAGTTATCAGAGTCCCAACGAGTCACAGAGAGAGTTATCAGAGTCCCAACGAGTCACAGAGAGAGTTATCAGAGTCCCAACGAGTCACAGCGAGAGTTATCAGAGTCTCACCGAGAGTTATCAGAGTCTCACCGAGTCACAGAGAGAGTTATCAGAGTCCCAACGAGTCACAGAGAGAGTTATCAGAGTCCAACGAGTCACAGAGAGAGTTATCAGAGTCCCAACGAGTCACAGCGAGAGTTATCAGAGTCTCACCGAGAGTTATCAGAGTCTCACCGAGTCACAGAGAGAGTTATCAGAGTCCCAACGAGTCACAGAGAGAGTTATCAGAGTCCCAACGAGTCACAGAGAGAGTTATCAGAGTCTCACCGAGAGTTATCAGAGTCTCACCGAGTCACAGAGAGAGTTATCAGAGTCCCAACGAGTCACAGAGAGAGTTATCAGAGTCCCAACGAGTCACAGAGAGAGTTATCAGAGTCCCAACGAGTCACAGCGAGAGTTATCAGAGTCTCACCGAGAGTTATCAGAGTCTCACCGAGTCACAGAGAGAGTTATCAGAGTCCCAACGAGTCACAGAGAGAGTTATCAGAGTCCCAACGAGTCACAGCGAGAGTTATCAGAGTCTCACCGAGAGTTATCAGAGTCTCACCGAGTCACAGAGAGAGTTATCAGAGTCCCAACGAGTCACAGAGAGAGTTATCAGAGTCCCAACGAGTCACAGAGAGAGTTATCAGAGTCCCAACGAGTCACAGAGAGAGTTATCAGAGTCCCAACGAGTCACAGCGAGAGTTATCAGAGTCTCACCGAGAGTTATCAGAGTCTCACCGAGTCACAGAGAGAGTTATCAGAGTCCCAACGAGTCACAGAGAGAGTTATCAGAGTCCCAACGAGTCACAGAGAGAGTTATCAGAGTCTCACCGAGAGTTATCAGAGTCTCACCGAGTCACAGAGAGAGTTATCAGAGTCCCAACGAGTCACAGAGAGAGTTATCAGAGTCCCAACGAGTCACAGAGAGAGTTATCAGAGTCCCAACGAGTCACAGAGAGAGTTATCCGAGTCTCACCGAGTCCCAACGAGAGTTATCCGAGTCTCACCGAGAGTTATCCGAGTCTCACCGAGTCCCAACGAGAGTTATCCGAGTCTCACCGAGAGTTATCCGAGTCTCACCGAGTCCCAACGAGAGTTATCCGAGTCTCACCGAGAGTTATCCGAGTCTCACCGAGTCCCACCGAGAGTTATCCGAGTCTCACCGAGTCCCAACGAGAGTTATCCGAGACAGAGAGTCTTGTTGTTGTTTAGAGTCTCATGGCGGTCTGTCTCTGTAGAAACTTGAGGAACAGAAAGTCTCAGAGGATCACAGGAAGTCCAACTTCATCCCAACTGTTTCACTGCATCGAATACCCGCTCAACATTAAACGTCATCACGAGGCGCCCGGTGAGACCATTATCCGGGTATGTTGGGGTTTAACGGTTAACGGTTTTATTGTTAAACAAGGTCTCTATTTACTTATTTTTAAGTTACAGCTTAACTATTATTAATTATTTTTATATCTTTGACTGAATAAAAGGTTGATTATGAATTATATCTGCATTTATATTAAATTATCGTCGGTCAAACAACCCTGTAAACTCCAAAGCGAGTGACGTCACTACCATGCGCCGCAGGAAAACAACAACCCCCTTCCAAAACAGTGATCAGAATCTATTCTCTAATCGATATCTGGTCTCCAAACGATTAAACAGGATTTAAAATATCAGTTTTAGTTCAATATAAGGGGAAAATATAGATCCGAAACAGGAAGAAGATGAACCTAACAGGAAAATAAATGAAGAGTCAAACAGCGCGTCTCTAAACTGCACTGTATTGTTTTCCTCCTGAGATCTACTGACGGTGAGTTAATCTAACGACTAGTTACTGACAGATAAACTAGTTAGTGACAGATAAACTAGTTACTGACAGATAAACTAGTTACTGTTAGAGATAAACTAGTTACTGTTAGAGATAAACTAGTTACTGACAGATAAACTAGTTACTGACAGATAAACTAGTTACTGTTAGAGATAAACTAGTTACTGTTAGAGATAAACTAGTTACTGACAGATAAACTAGTTACTGACAGATAAACTAGTTACTGTTAGAGATAAACTAGTTACTGACAGATAAACTAGTTACTGTTAGAGATAATCTAGTTACTGTTAGAGATAATCTAGTTACTGTTAGAGATAATCTAGTTACTGTTAGAGATAATCTAGTTACTGTTAGAGATAAACTAGTTAGTGACAGATAAACTAGTTACTGTTAGAGATAATCTAGTTACTGTTAGAGATAATCTAGTTACTGTTAGAGATAATCTAGTTACTGTTAGAGATAAACTAGTTACTGTTAGAGATAAACTAGTTACTGTTAGAGATAATCTAGTTACTGTTAGAGATAAACTAGTTAGTGACAGATAAACTAGTTACTGTTAGAGATAAACTAGTTACTGTTAGAGATAAACTAGTTACTGTTAGAGATAAACTAGTTACTGACAGATAAACTAGTTACTGTTAGAGATAAACTAGTTACTGTTAGAGATAAACTAGTTACTGTTAGAGATAAACTAGTTACTGACAGATAAACTAGTTACTGTTAGAGATAAACTAGTTACTGACAGAGATAATCTAGTTACTGTTAGAGATAAACTAGTTACTGTTAGAGATAAACTAGTTAGTGACAGATAAACTAGTTACTGTTAGAGATAAACTAGTTACTGTTAGAGATAAACTAGTTACTGTTAGAGATAAACTAGTTACTGACAGATAAACTAGTTACTGTTAGAGATAAACTAGTTACTGTTAGAGATAAACTAGTTACTGTTAGAGATAAACTAGTTACTGACAGATAAACTAGTTACTGTTAGAGATAAACTAGTTACTGACAGAGATAATCTAGTTACTGTTAGAGATAAACTAGTTACTGACAGATAAACTAGTTACTGTTAGAGATAAACTAGTTACTGTTAGAGATAAACTAGTTACTGACAGATAAACTAGTTACTGACAGATAAACTAGTTACTGTTAGAGATAAACTAGTTACTGTTAGAGATAAACTAGTTACTGTTAGAGATAAACTAGTTACTGTTAGAGATAAACTAGTTACTGACAGATAAACTAGTTACTGACAGATAAACTAGTTACTGTTAGAGATAAACTAGTTACTGTTAGAGATAAACTAGTTAGTGACAGATAAACTAGTTACTGTTAGAGATAAACTAGTTACTGACAGAGATAATCTAGTTACTGTTAGAGATAAACTAGTTACTGACAGAGATAATCTAGTTACTGTTAGAGATAAACTAGTTACTGTTAGAGATAAACTAGTTACTGTTAGAGATAAACTAGCTACTGACAGAGATAATCTAGTTACTGTTAGAGATAAACTAGTTACTGACAGAGATAATCTAGTTACTGTTAGAGATAAACTAGTTACTGACAGAGATAATCTAGTTACTGTTAGAGATAAACTAGTTACTGTTAGAGATAAACTAGTTACTGTTAGAGATAAACTAGTTACTGACAGATAAACTAGTTACTGACAGATAAACTAGTTACTGTTAGAGATAAACTAGTTACTGTTAGAGATAAACTAGTTACTGTTAGAGATAAACTAGTTACTGTTAGAGATAAACTAGTTACTGACAGATAAACTAGTTACTGACAGATAAACTAGTTACTGTTAGAGATAAACTAGTTACTGTTAGAGATAAACTAGTTAGTGACAGATAAACTAGTTACTGTTAGAGATAAACTAGTTACTGACAGAGATAATCTAGTTACTGTTAGAGATAAACTAGTTACTGACAGAGATAATCTAGTTACTGTTAGAGATAAACTAGTTACTGTTAGAGATAAACTAGTTACTGTTAGAGATAAACTAGCTACTGACAGAGATAATCTAGTTACTGTTAGAGATAAACTAGTTACTGACAGAGATAATCTAGTTACTGTTAGAGATAAACTAGTTACTGACAGAGATAATCTAGTTACTGTTAGAGATAAACTAGTTACTGTTAGAGATAAACTAGTTACTGTTAGAGATAAACTAGCTACTGACAGAGATAATCTAGTTACTGTTAGAGATAAACTAGTTACTGACAGAGATAAACTAGTTACTGTTAGAGATAAACTAGTTACTGTTAGAGATAAACTAGCTACTGACAGAGATAATCTAGTTACTGTTAGAGATAAACTAGTTACTGACAGAGATAATCTAGTTACTGTTAGAGATAAACTAGTTACTGTTAGAGATAAACTAGTTTGTGACAGATAAACTAGTTACTGACAGAGATAATCTAGTTACTGTTAGAGATAATCTAGTTACTGTTAGAGATAAACTAGTTTGTGACAGATAAACTAGTTACTGACAGAGATAATCTAGTTACTGTTAGAGATAAACTAGTTACTGACAGAGATAATCTAGTTACTGTTAGAGATAAACTAGTTACTGTTAGAGATAAACTAGTTTGTGACAGATAAACTAGTTACTGACAGAGATAAACTAGTTACTGTTAGAGCAGACAGCTTGTTACCTTTTCATAAACTACATATGGTCTTTGTAACATAGTTACAGCAGCAGGCTGATGATTTCCTGTCTTCACGTTTTGTTCTCAACGCAGATAACGAGATTATGATCTGAGTTAATACTCTGCTGTGATTGGCTGCTGGGTATCCATTATCTCAAACCTTCTAACTGTAACTCTACTTACTGTTCCTCAGATAAAACTGGTCATTGTGCTAATTTGAAACAACATGTGACAATATTTTATAAAAACCTGAGTTAAAGGAGCAGTATGTAACTCTGACCCCTAGTGGTTAAAATGGGTACTGTAGTCTAAATTCTAAACATCATAGAGAGCTGTCTCTCCCCCCCTCTCTAGAGTTGATGCTCACTCAGGTCACCATGTGGTGGACTCTGAAGCTTCAGTGTTTATCCAGCTCTGCATGGGTCTGTAAACCTTTCTGTGTTCTAACCTCTCTCCATTTTTCAAAAGCATCTCCAATATTGATCCTAGTTTGAGCACGTTTCTGCTCGTGGACCTTATTAGAAACATGCAGAATACAGATTACTAATCAGTCTTTTGGTTAATTTACCAGCTGTTGTGATCTATGATCTCCTCTAACCCACAGGCTGTGGTGACCTCTGACCTCCACCATGAGCTCCAGGTGTGGTACCTGCGGGGGGTCGGAGATCGATGTGGATCAGGCCCGGGGCAGTGCTGTGTGCACCAGCTGCGGCTCGGTCCTGGAGGACAACATCATCGTCTCTGAGGTCCAGTTTGTGGAGGGGACGGGAGGAGTGTCGTCGGCTGTGGGACAGTTCGTCTCTGCTGACGGTGAGAGCGAACGTCTCAGGGTGTTTGGGAGAACGTTTACAGAACATTCATTATTAGACGTTTAGGGATTGTTCATTAAAAGAACATTCTAGGAGACGTCCGGTTCTTCAATAGAGTTAATCATAAGCCGTTCTTTAAGACTTGTGAATTATGTTCTTCTCAGAATTACTGAGCTGCCTTCTTTCTGAATGGAGTCTGGTTCAGGGTACTCTGTAACAGTAGTTGAAAGCAGTCGTTCTTAACTGGTGTGTGGGGGACCAACAATGGGTCGTGGAGCGGTTTTCAGTCTGATGCTTTTAGAATCAGTTTTTGTTCTGTCACACTTTCTTCCTTCTGAGGTCCAAACAGCTCTATTCGTCACTGACTGAATCTGAGTGGTTGAATAATTTGGGTCACGATTCCTGTCGGCTGTGGTGGTGGGTCCTCCTCAGACTCGACCAGTTAACCACTGGGTACCATGTTCGGTCGTTGGGTGTTCTGCAGGGACAGTTTATCTTTATCTTTAAGGATGAGAATCTTTAACCAAGCCTCGTACAGAATGTCTCAGTGATACTCTGATCATGTACTGACTGAACTTCAGGCTCCCATGATGTGAACTCTCAGTATTTAAAGTACCCAAAGGTTCCCACAGACACACACCTCATGAAACAGAAACAGGTCTTATACAAACAGAAGCTTTATTAAATCAGACTCTGCAGACAGAGGTTCCTGTTCTTCATCAGCTGATCTGTTTACCTGAGAGGATAGACACACGTTCACATCCGAACAACAAAAACAACAACAGACTCAGCTTCTGAAACAAACCAGCTCAGAGGCTGGCACTTCTAACATTTACTTTGAACAACATGTCATTACACTTCATATCACAGTTCACCATTTCAAATGCAAACATAGACATTATATGTTTTTTTACATTTTTAAATTCTATTTTATATATTGTAATATCTTATACTGTATTATTTAAGTTGTTGCTAGTTCTGCTTTATTTCCTTGTTAATTGTTTAGCACCAATACACCAAGTCAAATTCTTTGTATGTGTAAATGTACTTGGCAATAAACCCTGATTCTGATTCTGGTTGTGTGATTAAAGATAAATCACTTCAACCTGAAGTAAGAACTTCTATTGTGGGTTGTTTTTATGTTTTCTTTTGTTTTACAACAGATTCTCAGTGATTTCTAACAGACCATGTTCAGTCCAGTGTTTGAATGTGTTCTGTTTACCTCTCATGATGCCGTTGTGAACACTGGAGCCGTACTGGCTGTGCCGGCTGCAGTCAGAACTGGTGTGGATCTTCTGATGTGATCCTGAACCACTAGAACCATTCAAACCCATGTTGGAACCAGTAACCCCGGCTGCCCCTGCAGCAGGTCTCCTCTCCGAGCTCCTGGTGGGATTGTTTGGTTGGTTTTCAGGACTGTTTGAAATGTGTTGAGCAGATACGCCGAGGAAGGAGGGCCGACTGGTTCCTCCTCCGGTTTCAGACTGTATGCTGGGGTACTGAAGGTTCTGCTGTTTGGGCTTCTGGTCGTTTGGGAATCTTTCCTGAAGGCCAGAAAACAGTCTGACTCGGCTATGAGACTCTCCTGAGAGTGAGGAGGAGTTTAAAAAAAACAAACAGAACAAAGTAATTATCTTCAAACTGACATTATGGCTAACTGCTAAGCTAGCTCTGTGTGATATGCTAGGCCAAAAACATCACCATCTTCACCTGGGTCAATAAGGAAAACAGGAAGTACCTGTTGGTTGAATGACCGTCTGCTGGGGTCCTTGCTGGGTGGTCACTTGATGGACCAGATCTTGCTTGTTTTGGGACCAATAGTTAGAGTCGATCACCGCAGATTGATCCGGCTGACCTTGGACACCGTGGTACATCTGTTCTTTCGTCAGTGTTGGGTTCTGCACACGTTCCATTCTCACGTCTGAACCTGCGAGTTCAGGAGGATGTTGGGACGTCTGGTGGTTCCCATCACTTCTCTCCGCAGTCAGACCAGTGGCATACATTGAGGTATTGGGTACTTGTTGGTTTACAGGTTTCTGGTTGAGTTTATGTCCAGAGGAGACTAATTTGCTCAGAGGTTTAACTCTAATTTTCTGCACTCCAGACCGACTGCTCTCGGTGTTCCTTCTTTCCAAGGAACCGGGTCTTTCTGGGTTTTGGTTGGGCTGACTGGTTGAAAGAGACGATGCTGCAGTGTTCACACACCTCCCCCTGGCAGGGATGGGGTTTTGGGACGTTCTGGGCTTCGTGTTAGACTGGATATATTTCCTGTTTCTGCTGGGCAGGAGGACTTTACTGCTGCCAATGTTGTGGAGCTGAGTGCCTAGAGAAGGATCATACTTGCTTTGAGGCTGGTTTCCTGGTACCTCTTCAGGTTTTGCCATTTCTTGCCCACCACTTGAGTAGCCGGAAAGACCTGAATCCAGATTGGCCACATTATATTGGGTCAGTTCTTGCATTCCAGGAGGACTCTGCAGGTCTTGATTGTTCTGGATCAAACCTTGTTGATTGGGCTGGTCCCATGTGGGGCGGGAGGGCCACACCACCTCACCTGAACTCTGCTCAGTGCGTCCCCAGTTAGCTTCTACCTGTCCAACATCAAGAGAACCCGGGACCTTGCTGGAGGAAGTGGAACCTAAGGCCAGGTTGTCCTCAGATAGTCCTGGATTGTTCTGTGGATCTTGTCCTGAGCTAAAGCTGTGTGTGTCGAGGTTTGACTGCTGGACACCGTGGTCTGGTAAATTGTTATACCTAGGAGGAAAGTTGCTGAGTTGGTCTTCAGTTGGTGATCTGAACACAGGTTGTTCCTCAGTCTGGGACATGAGACTGCTAGCAGGAAATGAGACCTGCAGGGGGACTTCCTGAGTACTGATGGTTGGGCCTTCATGAGGAAGGAGGAGGTTGAGGTTTGGAAAGTTTTGGAGGTTTTGGGGGGAGTAGAGCAGCTTGCTTTGTCCTCCGGGTACTGTAATGAAATGACTGGGACCTGGTTTAGGTCTTATACCATAGTGGGGCGGGTCACTTCCTGCCTCAGGAGTTTGGTGGACCTGGTCTGTTGGGGTGTTGGCCTTGTTTCCAGGAGCCTGAAGCAAACAGTCTTTTGCCGGAAGTTTATTATCTGAGTCTTCTGGAAACAAAAGGAATTATGATAATGTGAATCAAACCAAACTGGATTTAATTGATGGATAATGACTCAGACTGGGACCTTTAAGGCTCTGGAAGATTTTGACTGAACCAAATCCTGGAGTGTCTGATGTGAAGATCCTGTCCACAGACAGTCTGTTGACTTGGCTCAGTGGATAGAAGCACCTCACGGTCAACCTGTTGAGTTAGAATCAGTTATTTATTAACATGAGAGGTTCTTCAGAATGTGGCTCTTTCAGGTCAGATGAGTTCTTACTTAAACTGAGATTCTCTGGAGATGAAGTTAGGTCCATCAGCAATCATCTGTCTGTCATGGACGACTTCATTCTCATAAACCATGTATGAGTCCCCGGCCTGTAAAAACATCCTCAGCTGTCAGAAGGTTCTCGGTCATCCAGGTCATTCAAAGAGGGACTCGAAAGGAAACTGGACCTGGTCGAAGGTGACCGGGTGAAAACGTCCACAAAACCTTCAGTGAAGTCCAGTTTCCTTTTGAATCAAGCTTGGAACATCCTCAGTTACTAAACTGAACCACTACACAGCCCTGTTCTAAACTCTGCTTTTATATGAACAACATTTCCAGACCGTTGATTGGCGGTTATAGGGATATTCCTATCGACTAATTTCAAAGCTATCAGTCCTTTTCTAGATCTACACACTTTGAGATGCTAACCATCCACTGTGCTGGATTACATCCTGGCAGCTGAGCCAGGAGATAATACCCAATACCCCCGACTAGTGGCAGTAGGCTGCATTACAGTCTAGACATTGGCCAGCCTTTATAAAATATAATGAATTAGTTTACCCAACTAGTAATTCTGATGCCAACTTTAACTGTTTAAACAGCTAATAACACATCTTTAAACAAGACTTTCTACGGTGTACGGAGATGTCAACCAGGGTCCAGAGGTGGGAAGAAGCCATGAAGGCAAACACTGTTTTATTAGCATCCAAACTGATTATGACAAAGTGACTGGTCTGCTGTTTTTCACTGTTACTGAGTTGTACCATGACTCTGGTCCCACACGAGTTAACGTTGAACTCAAACAGGACTCTGGACCTGTCCATCTCTTTGGGTCTACAGGTGGGGTCCAGAAGAGTGGTTCTTTCAGGCTGTACTGTAGGCCAGGTGGAGGTTGGAGTGGTCGCCACTGTCATGGTCCCATCTGACGAACAGACTGACACCACAAAGAAACCATGTTAAGGCTCAACATCGAAGTCATCGAGTTCAGTCCTGAAGTTTAGCATTTTGGATTATTCAGGACTAATAAAGAAACTTTAACTGAAGTCAGGTTGGGTACGATTAGCAGGAAAACTGAACTTTAAGAGTAGAGAGACAGTTACCGATCATGTCCTGTGTTTTAAAGAGGCAGCGTTTGGACGTGGATGTCTGGACCTCCAAAGTTTTGGAGTCTCTTAGAAGAAGCCCAAAGGTTCCATAAAAGTTGGACAGGTTGATTTCCTGCAAAAAAACAAAGGTGGTATGGATTAGGATGGTAGGAATGCTTCTCTCAGATTCTTTACTCATTGATCAGTTTAGCTTTTTAACTGAGATTTATATCAAGGGTTACTCAAATATTCGATATTCTGGAGGGACACTGGAGGGCAGCAATCACCGTTTATATTAAAAATGAAAAGTTTCTGTAATAAGACAGGATCAGATCCCAGTCAGTCTCTGGATACTTGTATTTAGTTACCAGATTAAAGTCTTACACCACCACCTCTTGATGTCATTCTCAGCTTGCTGTAGGTTGGGCAGCTTTCAATAATTCACTGTGAAATTAGAAGTTGGAAAGCTGTTGCCTTTCTGCAGCCCTGTGACACATCCGGGTACTCGTACCTCGTAGGTGTAGCCGATGGAGAACAGGGGGACTTCCAGCGTGGTCTTGTGGGGACTCTCGCTGTAGAGTCTGTACCCTCTTTGAGCTGCCAGCTCTGATGTCAGAGGCTCTTGGTCAACACCCACCTCCCACAGACTCTCAGCTCGCAGCGGTCTGACCACACTGAAGGTGATTCCTCCGTCTGAACACTGCGCTGTAATCTCTGGAGGGACTGAAGGAGAACATAAGACGCCGTGTGAATGTGTTTAACTCAACGTTTGCCCTCGAAGGAGAAATCGTCATTGAAGAGAAGGAAGAAATGTTCTCACATGTGTTGGTAACTTGTGCTGTGAGGAACGTGTGGTGGTAGAACGAGTCTCCCTGGGGCATGATGGTCAGAGTGAAGTTTATATCTGCGGAGTACTGCACCACACCTTGACCCAGGTACTGTGTGAAAAAACAGACAGGAGGCCAGAGATAGAGCTTCAGACAACAACAACGATGGTCAGCCAACATCATTTCTACAGAGGGCAAATGAAAATATAGTGCTCATGCTGCACAGTTAAAGCTCCAATCAGTGAGATGTGTAGAGAGTGAAATGATAAAGGTATCTTACTATCTGATCAGACATTAAGGAAACATGCCATGTTGAAGTGCTGGCTTCTCTGACAACATTGCAGCAGCCAGTATGTCCTCCTAACTTTAGATTCTGCTCCCCCACACGGCCGTTTTGGACACCCCACGGTTTTCCAGATATGAGAGCAGTTATCAGGTCAAACCAACAGGTTTGAGATAGAAGTGATTGTACCTGACCTAAAAAGCCTCTGCATGTTTCTAATAAGCTCCACGAGCAGAAACGTGCTCAAACTAGGATCAATATTGGAGATGCTTTTTAAAAAATGGAGAGAGGTTAGAACACAGACCCATGCAGAGCTGGATAAACACTGAAGCTTCAGAGTCCACCACATGGTGACCTGTGTGAGCATCGGCTCTAGAGAGGAGGGGGGGGTCAACTAGACCCACAACCAGGCTAAATTGCCAACCAAATACACCAAGAATGTAACGAGCTGAATAATGGTTAAAAAAAAAAAAAGCTAAAATTTATAATTTATCCATCTTTACAAATCTTCAGTCCGCTGGTCTCGGCCTACGCACAAAACAAGATCCTCTCGCTACATTTAGACTCTGCTCAGGAAGTTAAACTTGAAAGGTTGTCCATCCTGATCCTGCATCTTCATATCAGATCCCGACATACCTACAATACAGTAAACAAACAGACGACAGGGTCTCACCATCACTTGGACGACTGGGTGTTCGAAGAGCAGCTGGAGCTGGTAGGCATGGCTGCCGTTAGCGTGGACAACAGAGCTGATCATGTAGCCTTGTTCAGCGCTCTGAGACAGAAGCTGCTCTCCGTTGATCAGGACTTCCTGTAATGTGGCATCAGCAGGAATGTTTCCCAGGTAGACCCTGAACAACTTGTCATCATTCAAAGTCTCTACAGGAAGAAACAGAAGACAGGGTAAAGACACCAACGGGTGATTAAATCATGAAAAAACAAAACCTGTTCAACTTTATCTACTGAGTCATTGATTTATCTTCTGGTTCAGGAGAGATTTGGATATTTTACCAATATGATGCCTTCCCATTGAAAACTCATTTTACGTATATAAAAAAGGGACAGCCCTAGAGAATCGTTTTCCTGAAATCATTTAAAGTCTTTCTGTGATTTTTTGATCCAGCAGATGTCGCCCTTGAGCTCCAGCATGAAACCAAAACAACTCGCGCTGCATTGTTGTGTTAGCATGCTAATGCTAGTGATCTTTATTCTGCTGGTATCTTCACACTGCATGTAAATTTACCTGAAATGAGCGTGATCTAGAAACACAGTTAAGCAGCGAGTACAGTATGTTATTCTTCTTTTCTCTAGTCCCTCAATTAAACAACTTTTATACACGAGGGGAGGAGTCAGCCGGTCGTCCTGGCGATGTAAACAAACTGAAGATAGGACTCGATACTGATTTCTATTACATTTAAGTGAAAAAAAAAAAAAAAAAAAATTGCAGATTAAGCCTTTAACATTTCCAACATTATCTCTGTCTGAGTTCGGTATGTTGGTGAAAAATCCAGCCCGTCATTCTGATGTTCTGTCTCAGATGGTCCTGTAGCACCAACAGATGCAGACTGAGGACTTTTCTGGAGTGAGAACAAATACTCACGGTCGAGGCTGAAGGGTGGGCGGCAGATCAGCGGTGTGTCGAGCACTCTGAACGTCCTGTGTTTAGTGTTGATGCTGCTGCCGTCTTCAAACAGCAGAGAGAAGACGTGCTCGTACAGCAGAGAGATCACATACGTCTCCTTGTACGTGTTGTTCAACACCAAGCCCTGCAGAGACAACAAACTCGCTGTCTACCATGTTGACAGCAATCTGTGATTCTGCTGCTTTTGTATCGTGCTGGCAGCGCCTGTTTCTTTCTTTTAAAGGTTAATTTTTGGTCTTTTTAAGAGACAGGACAGAGTCAGAAATCTGGTAGAGAGAGAGAGTGGGGAATAACACGAGCCACCGGTCAGACCTGAACCTGGGCCATCTGCCTAGAGGACCACAGCCTCCACACACACTTGTACTGCCATGCCACCGGCGACCCAAGGACCCGTGTTTTTTGGACAAACCAATGTATCATAACATTTTCAGGACAAAGGGCAAAAACCCCTCCTCTTCAGTTGATTAGAGTCGCATCTCTCTCTCAGTTGAAAATTGTTTAAGTTAGGAACCCCACTGTGCTCGTCAGTGTCACTTATCAAGAAGGAGTAGGACTTCTGATATCAACTAAGGGTTCAAAAACAATGGAGGAGAAACTCATCCTTTTCCTTGCACAGTTTGCTAACAGTCTGCTGCTAATGCTAGGACACGATCACTTTCCACTGTTGTGCTGCAGGATCACTTTTATGAAAATTGTTTAAGTTAGGAACCCCACTGTGCTCGTCAGTGTCACTTATCAAGAAGGAGTAGGACTTCTGATATCAACTAAGGGTTCAAAAACAATGGAGGAGAAACTCATCCTTTTCCTTGCACAGTTTGCTAACAGTCTGCTGCTAATGCTAGGACACGATCACTTTCCACTGTTGTGCTGCAGGATCACTTTTATCACTTTGCTTCAGTAAGTGTCGATAAGAAGTGCTCTGACTCTGAGGTTGTGGACACTGCCAGCACATAAAACAGAGTGGGGGCTGACTTTACCTTTCTGTAGCCCCCCTCCGCCCCAAAAGGAGCCCTGATCTGTACCAAAGATCCTTGTTGGACCAGGCTGAATCCTCCAGCGTTTGCATTGGGGTTATCCAGCAGCAGCCCCTCCACCCCCAAACCAAGGCTCCTACTTTCAAAGCCCACTCCCTCTCCGACCAGAGGAGCCATGACCAGGGGGACCTCCCACAGCAGCTGGCTGCCATCAAAAGAACCTGAATCTGAGGGAGGATCAACAAGCTGACCGTCAGTAACAGTAAAGCACCTCACAGAGACCAGCTTCCTGTTCAGGTGTGTTTGATGGTGGACTTACTCAGTGTGCAGGCCATGGACACATCAACCATCACCATGGTCAGCTTCTCCTTACTGAACACAGAGACCCGCACCACCTCGACAGGGACGCCGTCCATCTGACGGGGAACATAAAAACAAGTCATTGACTCTCACCGTGTCATTTAGACTCCTGAAAATCAGAAACATCATGTTTGAGATCCAACACAGACAGAATCTGTACTGGTTCATAAATATCATTTTCCACACTTACAGTACTCTGGAGAACCATTCAGCATACTCCCAATGTCTACATTTGTAAAGAATCACCATGGAAACAATGAAGGACATGAGTAACACAGATGATGTTCATTTCATCTCTCCTTGCAGCCCAAGCACTGTGGCAGCCGGTTTGACGAGATGTCAGTGAATGCATCATGGATGTTAAAGTCCATGAGGAGTCAGTTACATGTTGGCATGCTCTCTGTCCTGCCATGTGGTTACTCACGGTCGTCAGCTCGCCATGTGGCTGTTTGTACTGAGAACGAAGCACTATCCTCTGGGCAGTGGTGGTCAGGCTGAAGCCCCACCTCTGGGCTTCACTGATGGACATGGAGGACACCTGTCCATCACTCATCAGGACCATCAGCTGCCAGACTGAACTAGCGGTCCTCTGAGCCTGAAAACATCAGAAACAGATTTTAGACGCCGACTTCTGCAGGTCATCCAGGTCTACACTCCCTCCCCCTCCACTACACTCTGCCAATGAAAGGCGTCTGATCCAACCTTCACAACAGGGTCCTAAGTCTCTGACTAGACTCTTCTCCTCTGTCGCCCCCCGGTGGTGGAATGAACTTCCAAACTCCATGTGATCTGCGTGTGTCCAATCAGACTCAAAGCTGATCGTTTGCTCTTACTGACATTGTTCCCTTTTTTCTAGATCCTTGCTTGTGTTGTTCTTACTCTCTGATGTACGTCGCTTTGGAGAAAAGAGTCTGCTGAGTGAATTGTAGAATTGTGAAAATGACAACTTGAGTCCACTTTGTTTACAATAAAGTGAGTTTCTAGAAGTTACTGCAGGAAGATGCTCACACAAGCTGAAGTCCTCGGTCGCCATGGAAACCAGCAAAGCAACCAGAGGACCCTGCCTACCTAGATGGGTCTTCTAAAGTCTAAACATGTGTTGGAGTAAGAAAGTGAATCTCTCGGACTAAACCCAGATCATCATGAAGATTATATTTAGCATTGTGTTTGTTGGGATTTTACCTGAGAGAGCGCCGTCTGCCACACATGTCCACCTTCTCCCTGCAGTCCTCCACATGACGAGTCTCTGTTCACGTTTACCTGCTCGACATCATCAAACAGCCCTTAAGTCCCACATAGGTGACTGAAACAATGCATCAGGTCACATGGTGTACAAGCTGCTGACCTCCATGTAGTCCTCCTCACAGGTGATCTCTCTGTGAGCCCACATCCCTTTGTTGGGATTTTACCTGAGAGAGCGCCATCTGCCACACATGTCCACCTTCTCCCTGCAGTCCTCCACATGACGAGTCTCTGTTCACGTTTACCTGCTCGACATCATCAAACAGCCCTTAAGTCCCACATAGGTGACTGAAACAATGCATCAGGTCACATGGTGTACAAGCTGCTGACCTCCATGTAGTCCTCCTCACAGGTGATCTCTCTGTGAGCCCACATCCCAGAGGAACAGACTGCAGACACAGGTGTGCTGATCCACCTGCCCGCAGCATCCCTCACTATCACATTCAGTGTGAATGTGAACACCTGGTCGTTCTGAAAACACAGAATATATCGTCAGAGCGTCACTGTCCCTGACCCCCAACCAGGAAGTGATACGTGTTGGATCAAGTTTATGTACACATGTGGCTGTACCTGGCTGGAGGTTAAAGAGGGGAGGGGCTACCTGGCTGGAGGTTAAAGAGGGGAGGAGCTACCTGGCTGGAGGTGGAAATAGGGGAGGAGCTACTTGGTTAGAGGTGGGGGAGAAGGGAGGAACTACCTGGCTAGAGGTGGAAATAGGGGAGGAGCTACTTGGTTAGAGGTCGAGAGAGGGGAGGGGCTACCTGGCTGGATGTGGAAATAAGGGAGGGGCTACCTGGCTAGAGGTGGAAATAGGGGAGGAGCTACTTGGTTAGAGGTCGAGAGAGGGGAGGGGCTACCTGGCTGGATGTGGAAATAAGGGAGGGGCTACCTGGCTAGAGGTGGAAATGGGGAGGAGCTACTTGGTTAGAGGTAGAGAGAGGGGAGGGGCTACCTGGCTGGATGTGGAAATAAGGGAGGGGCTACCTGGCTAGAGGTGGAAATAGGGGAGGAGCTACTTGGTTAGAGGTAGAGAGAGGGGAGGGGCTACCTGGTTGTGGGTGAAGCAGGAGAAGTACGAGGCTCTGAAGACGGTGGCGTTGTCTTTCTTGAAACTGCTGATAGTGTAACCACAGAGTGAGGCCAGCTGCTCGCTAATGGAGTGGACGCCATTTTCATCTGTTCATGTTAAGAAATATAACAAGATGAGCAGCATGATAAGTACGATTGTATGTGTCGTGCTTTGACACCCAGCTTGTCTTTGTTTGTCAGGTAAACAGGTGAGCAGGTAGACAGTGTGTTGTAGGCTTCAGGTGTGTACTAGAAGAACTGACCGACAGCCTCGAAGCGTGGCGTCTGTGTGGACGTGACGTGGATCCACAGGTAACGATCCCGACACTCTGACTGAACCACAGACTCTGCAGAACCTGACAACATAAACAACCTAACAGGTCAGGTCAGAGGTCACCAGGTGACAAATCATATTCTCAGTTTAGTCTCTGAAACCGTCAGATGACACTCAAAGACATAAAAACAAACGTGATCAGAAAACAGTTTACCTTCCAGGTGATCTCCAGGTGTTCCTTTTATGAAGCCACAGCAGATTAACAGCAGTCTGCAGCAGAACACAGATTACATTTTTACCTGTTCAGGTGAGCTGTGTGTTACCTGTTCAGGTGAGCTGTGTGTTACCTGTTCAGGTGAGCTGTGTGTTACCTGTTCAGGTGAACTGTGTGTAACCTGTTCAGGTGAGCGGTGTGTAACCTGTTCAGGTGAACTGTGTGTAACCTGTCCAGGTGAGCTGTGCGTTACCTGTTTAGGTGAGCTGTGTGTTACCTGTGTGTTACCTGTTCACGTGAGCTGTGTGTTACCTGTGTGTTACCTGTTCAGGTGAGCTGTGTGTGACCTGTTCAGGTGAGCGGTGTGTAACCTGTCCAGGTGAGCTGTGTGTTACCTGTTCAGGTGTGTTACCTGTTGAGTACCTGTCCTGGTGAGATAAGATGACTCACCGTATGACGAGAGCAGCAGTTTTCATGTTGATTCTCTCTCTGTGGAAGAAGAACCCATCTACAACCAGGTGAGCTAATCACCTGGTTGTCATGGTAACAGAGGAGGCAGTAACAGCTGATTGTGATTGAGTGTGATTACAGCAGCAGGTCCGAAGAACTCCATGTAACCACTACCCGTGTGTGTGTGTGTGTGTGTGTGTGTGTGTGTGTGTGTGTGTGTGTGTGTGTGTGTGTGTGTGTGTGTGTGTGTGTGTGTGTGTGTGTGTGTGTGTGTGTAGGTCCAGTTAAAGCTCCTCTTCTTGGGTCTGGTTTTCACACGAGTGTTGGAAAGGAGTCCAGAGCTCAGACTCTGCAGGGTGGTGAGTACCTCTATCTGTCTGTCTCAGCTATAATCATGTTACAGTCGGCTGGTGCACAATGTTTAACAGAGGGACCAAGATGTACATCTGAGTTAGCTTGATGCTAACACATACTGGAATTTGCCATTTACTGGCTAACAGAATTAGCATAGCTATATAACATACTCAACCAGCACAGTCTTACTTACAGACATGTTTCCTAAACTCTGTGGAGACAAACTTTAAAACATGCTGACTCATTGCCACCAGCAGCCATTGCCAAAGTGATATTTTCAGGTATGATTAACCCTTCGTGTGTCTCAGGTAAGCGTCAGATCCAGCAGCTGGGCAGTCAGCTGCAGCTGAACCAGCACTGTTTGGACACCGCCTTCAATTTCTTCAAGATGGTCGTCAGTAAGCACCTGACCAGGGGACGCAAGACGGAGCACGTCATCGCCGCGTGCCTGTACCTAGTGTGTCGCACTGAGGGGACTCCACGTATCCTAGCAACCAGCAACATGTTGAAACACTGAGATGCTGTGTGTGTGACTGTACCTAAAATTTTAGACGACTCTGTGACCTTTCACCTCCTTAATCAGCATGTTTCAGACATGTTACTGGACCTGAGTGACCTGCTGCAGGTACAACTGACCTCAGGCCTACAGACAGCTGTAGTCCATCTGTTTGTCTGTGTGTAGTTTGTTTGTCAGTCATCAGTCTGTCAGTGGTGTGTCTGTAACTGTACTTCCTGTTTTCAGGTGAACGTTTACATTCTGGGTAAAACGTTTCTTCTGTTGGCTCGTGAACTTTGCATCAACGCTCCAGCAATCGGTGAGAACTTAAAATTTATTTTTTCACTCATAACTTTATTTAAACTGTGTTTTCAGATAAGTTTACCCGTGTGATATGTAACCATGGAAACAAACATTCACAGTCCTCATAATAAACAGAGTGAACGTCTGTTGTCCGCTCTGAGGTGATCATGTGACAATCGAAAATCTCACTGAACATGAATTACCTTTTTGTTTTTAAAGAGTTTATCTGAAGGACTCAAAATGTGCATTTATGGAACTTTATTTCCCGTGAGCCACAGTCATCTTAAAGTTAAAGTTTTAATACCTTCAGACTGTATATAATAAGGGCGTAGTCTCAGTAACTCCCATCGATGGCTTAGAAGCTGGCAAAGAGATTGAGCATTTTGTACCAGGCTGTAAAGAGACTCTAGTGGACAGTGGAGGAACTGCATCTGTAAAGTTAGACATTTTAACATGGAGCTCTATGAGGACTGACTCACTGCAGGAGACAGACTCTAGTGGACAGTGGAGGAACTGCATCTGTAAAGTTAAACATTTTAACATAGGGCTGTATGGGGACTGACTCACTGCAGGAGACAGACTCTAGTGGACACTGGAGGAACTGCAGCTGTAAAGTTAGACATTTTAACGTGGAGCTCTATGGGGACTGACTCACTGCAGGAGACAGACTCTAGTGGACACTCAATGAATTGCAGATTTCCGCTGGGGTTCATTTTTCAATACCGGAAGTCGTCGTTAAGTGTGTTCCTTAGTAACACCGAGTGGCAGCTGTAGGAAACTACAACTGAAAATATTTTATTATTTTTATATTAAAGAAGCAGCAACACGTTTTCACTGTCCGTCACTTCAACTTTAATGTTCAAACACAGAAACAAATCAGCTTCCAGCTCTTCTACAACAGCCAATCAGCTTCGAGTTCAGGGCAGCAGTCCCATCAGAGCTCGTTGGTTGTTTGTTCTTTGATTGGTCAGAGTCCTGGTTCTGGTTCAGCAGTAAAAGACCACCTCAGGGATCTGCCCCCCCTGCACCCCGGTCCCGTTGGTACTGTCCGAGGAACACTGGAACTGGAAGGTCACTTTCCCACACTGCACCTCGGTCATCCCCTCCTGACCAAAGTAACTCAGCTCGTTCCCGTCCAGGACGGCGCTGACCGTGTAAAAGGTGTCCTGCTCCACCTGGACCGGATGTTCGAACCACACGGAGAAGGTGCTGCTGGACCCGTCTGACAGGAACTTTGTGAGATTCTGGGCGAGGACCGTTCCCTGCCTCTTCAGCTCGATGGTCACGCTGTACTCAGCCTTCCCGCCACTGGACCCGTACAGCCCCAGTCCGGCCAGAAATATCCGTCGGTCCACTGCGAACTGGATGCTGTCGCAGCGACCCCTGTAACGCCACTGGTTGCTCCGGTAGGCAGAGGACTGGAAGCGGTGACACCTCTGCGGCAACAGGCCGGTCCGCTTCCCCAGAGGGAACTCCAGTGTTGGTTTGTTGGAGGCGGTGAACCACAGGAAGACATCACGAGTCTCCTCCAGCGTCAGGACGTCCGATTGCGCCGCCCCGTCTGCAAACTCCTGCAGCGTCATGGAGGGGATCCGGACCAGGTACAGAGCCTTACCCAGAACCACCCGCTGGTTCCTGGGGGTCACCGCCAGACCCTGACGCCGACACTCAGCGGACGCCCAGCTGAGCATGGCCTGAAAGATGGCGACTTCTCGGATGTTGAGCGAGTCTCTCTGCAGGATGATCTCCAGCGTGGGCCAGTCGATCTCACAGAAACCCTCGGACCGCAGAGCGAGGTTGGCCTGGGCGTCGATCACCTCCCAGCAGCGCTGCGTCAAGTCCGGCTCCTCGAACAGCCGGCTCTGAGACAGCAGCACGCAGGCGTTCCTCGCCTCCAGACTCGTCTCTAGGAATGACACGCAGGCCTTCGCCAGAGCAGGAACGATGTACTTCTTAGCGGCATAGAGCGTGGCGAGCACCGTGTCCGCCTCCATCTGGATCTCATCACTGTACATGTACCTGAAATAGACGAGCGGGGTCAGCACATGTGAGACGGTTCTGGTTCTGAATGTCGTGGAGCTCTTACTCACTTTAACAGGATGAGGAAAGCAGCCGGCTCCACGTCAGGGATCTGTATCTCAGATTGACCCTCAGCCAAATCCCCATAAAACATGGCTCCAAAGACAGAGCTGCCCACCGCCAGGACGTACTGCAACACAGACACAGGGACCAATCAGAGGCCGGAATCAGGCTGAGGTCTAGACCAATCAGATGTTAGGACCGTTCTCCTTAAGTAACTTATGTACATAAGTAATCAGAATTATTTTGGGCGTTTCCAGGGTTTTTGGGGTGCGGACACTTGTAGTCTGTGAGTCCAGATTTACAGTGTACCTTATGAGCAGGGACTCTCTGGGTTTCTCCTGGAGGTCCGACGATGAAATGAACATCAGCCATGTGCTCGTTGT